GACAGCAATTCAAGAGTAGCATCAGGTCTTGTCTCCCTGGGATTTTCAGTTTCCCAACACAGCCATCTCATTTGAAATTAAACCTTACTGCTGTGCTCACCAAAACAGAAAGAAAACCCACTTTCCCTCCTTGTAACACAGTGACAGCTGTATAACCACAACTTTGCTTGCTGCTTTGCCTCTTCCTCTTGCCTTATGTGAGCTACAGTGGCCCTGTGCAGAACAACTGATATTTACTAATTCCCTCCCTTATTTTGTCTTTGACAGATGAAGAGGTTCAAAGGAAAAGCTGCAACCTGAAGGTGATGTTAGGGTGAGAGATGGCTCCCAGATGCCCACCTCCAGTGCAGGGGTGAATCAGCAGGCTCACCCTAAGCCTGTGAGGAATCTTGCCCTCACCAAGTAAGTAGGACTCACTTTCTGACCTCATTTGAGGAAGATGCTGCTGGAATCTAGAGTTTGGACTAAATGACTAGTTTAGTCCTTTTCTTAGGGTGGATGCACTTCCCAACAAATCCCCTCCAGAGATTAACCACTGCTCCTCACAGCTCATGGTCCTAACCCAGAAATGCACGTGATGAGCCCAGGGCACACACGTTTTACAGCTCAGCTTGGTTCCTACAAACCAAATGTGCTGCTCTCCTTGAGCTGTTCAATCATCCTCCCACCTGTATTTTACACCACCTGCTGATTCCTGAAAAGCAAAAGGTATTGTGCCATCTCTCAACCACATCCCTGCACAAAAGCTGCAGCAGGAGCTGGCCTTTGCTGCATGCAGTGGACTCTGCCCAAGGAAACACAAGAATACTCCATGTTTTTAAGGCTGATGTGTCAACGCAGTAAGAACAAGCTGGAAATAATCACTTCAGCCTTTTGAAGCAGCAGAGACTCAAATTCATGGAGGCAGAAGCTCACCTGGTAGTACTACTCTGCAAAACACACTTCTTTTTCAGAGTGCATTGTTTTTTAGTTTTGTTTTTCTCTTTAATGCTTGAAATGGAATGTTTTATTAGTCCATCCTTATACGAAACATGGGAGCAGATCATCTACATAGAAATCTCTCTGCAGCTTGTTTGCTTTGAATTTTAGTTGGCATTTTTTGTTGAACTCAAACAACCAGCCTCCAACTGCACTGATTACAGACTGATTGATTAATTCAGGTGAATTTTAAAAGTTACATTCAGCAGTGCCACAGTGGAAATCTAAGGGTGTTTGATGTATCTTGGCATGATCTGACTTTCAGGAAAAGGACCATTTGTCTGTTTCATGTTAATGAAAGCAAGCTTTAAAGCTGGGAAGAACATCTGGAACTTGAAAAGATTTGAAGTGAACAGAATAAAATAAAAATTGCAGTCCTGGGCCCACCCCCACTGTACACAAAAGTGCTGCAGTAAATGGTTCTGACCGTGAGTGCAAACTGAAAGAAAACTATTTGTACTTTATTTTAGCTAAAGAATATAAACTGTGTTCAAAAAGCAGACATGGAAATGTAGCTTCTTTAACCTGCAAGTTAATTGAGTCTTTTTTTTGCTGTGAATAATGTTGTTAGGAGAGGATTCAATGGTATTTTGGTTTCAGGATTAGGAAATTAAAATATTAATGTAATATAGTATTATGATTACTAAGTGGCTTGATCTTCAGGAAATATGAAAGAAGATGCAAGCAATTCTGTGTAACTCATTAATTAACTCCCTTTTAAAACAATCAGGCAACAATTTGTTTCATGTTCAGGAAAGAAATTTTGTGGCCAGAGAAAAGAGATGATTATTTTCAGTAATTAATGATAACCTTGACCGTATGCAGGAGCTCCTTCAGGCGTGACTAAATGATTTCTGGCAGACTGCATAGATAAATCCCTATAAAACTCCAGTCTCATAGAAAGTTTTCATTAACTGCATTAAACATTGAGGACATACCTCCCAGTTTCATGAAGGAGAAAACCCAATCCTCACTCTTGAGATATTACTTTAAAAATCCTTTATACATATATTCTATTGATTAGGGAAATTTGGTGTAAAATTAAACATTAGCAGAGTTTGTTTTACCCACTGCCAACACCATGACCTTTATTAAAAGTTGAAGCATTGCCTCTTTAATCCATATCTAAAGAGACATATGTCCAAAAAAAGCTATTGCAAATAATATTTATATCTTCATTCAAACTAATTTCTCTTTCCATAATAAAATTCACCCAGCAGCAGAGCCCAAACACTAACCTGAAGGAGTTGTTTAGAAAGCCCTGGTAAAGAATTACATTTTTTTCCAGTTCCCCCTTCTTGTTTGTTTGAAGCCTAGACTATCCATGGCACATAAAATCATAGACTGGTTTAGGCTGGAAGGGACCTTAAAGATCACGAAGATGTTTTTTCTGCTTCTATTTCTACCTTCTCTTGAACACAAAAAAAATTGTACTGGGGTTTGGTTCTCTTATTCCCCTCACTGTCTGCTGAAATGTTTGATGTTACAGCCTGAGCAAGGTTTCTCCATGGCATTACTCAGGCACTCGTTCTACACTGACATTCACATACCTGTTGGCAGGTATCAAAAATTCAGTATTTTTTCTGGATTAGGTATAATCTCATGAGGAACATCTGTAAACTATTCTGTCAGCATTCTGTTTTCTTTTTCACTATTGGTCTTTTCACCAGTGATATTCCTTTATCCAATACTTTATCTTGATCTATCAGATTTATTTTTTTTTTAAATGGGCTTGGACATTTCTTTTGACCTTTCCACCTCACTTCTCATTTTAAAGCTCTTCTTATCAGCCATAAAAGCCTGGATGTCAGAAGGCAATTTTCCCAGATGGTCAGATGGAATCCAACCTTTGAAAACTGTCTCTTTTAGCAAGCTTATCCCACTGGCAAAGTATTCCCAAGCCTGTTTTAACACTGATATTTGAGTCATCTGTTGCTCATCACTACATCATACGCCCTATCTCCCTCTGTACTGGCAAGAAAAAAATTCAGAGTAGTCACTAAAATGAGATATAATTAATTCAAAAGTAAGTGATGGTATTTCTAAGTTTGAGATACACTGCAAAATCAAACTGCTATGAAAGTTTGGTGCAACTCCCTGTAAAACAGACAGACTCATTGCTAGTAACATTTTCTGTCACAGAATCATGGAATTCCTTCAGGTTGGAAGGGATCTCAAGGATCATTTGATCTGGCCTTTTTGGCAAAAGCATGGTCTTGAAAAGATGGCCCAGCACCCTGTCCAGCTGCATCTTAAAACTGTCCAGCACTGGGGAGTTCATTGTTTTCCCGCAGAGATTATTCCAGTGACTGACTGTTCTCATTTTTAAACATTTTCCTCTTGTGTCCACTTGGAATCTCTGCAGCAGCACCTTGTACCTATTTCCTCTCGTCTTTTCCAAGTGACTCCTTGTAAAAAGGGAGTCTCCATCTTCTTTTTGTCCCCCTTTAAACACTGGTATGTGGAAATAAGGTCTATCCTCAGCCTGCTTTTCTCACAGCCAGGCAAAAACAAGTCTCTCAGCCTTTCCTAATGGGACAGCTTCCTGTCCCAGAATCATCCTTGTGGGCCCTGTCTGGACCTTTCCCTGTCCACATCTTTTTGGCACAGTGCCACAACTTTATATTGAAAAATAAATCATGAATTTGCAAGTTCTTCATTGAAATGAAAAATCCTTTATGTAACATGAAAGCTGTGTTTTGATCAATCCTTGCAACTTTACATATCTCACCTCATCTTTATCACTGCCCTTATCTACAGCAACCAAACGTTCCTCCAAAGCCCTAGGGAGGTTATTTTGGAAGACCTGATTATTTTAAATTATTTGAAATCTATTATATTCAGTTTTGGTGGGGGAAAAAGTGAGTCTGGACTGTTTATTGTTCTTTAAGAAGCTCTGGGCTCCTGCAGAAGTTGCTCATGGTGAATCATCTCTTTTCACAATGCTCATGGCCAAGACACACCTGAGAGGATACAAGGTTCTGCAGTGATTATATAACCTCTCTTGGCAGAATGTTTTCTAATCATGAAATGACCCCACAGGTGAATTTTTGGTTTCAACTACCAGATCATAGCACAAAGCACAGTATGTAGAAGAAAGATGAAAGCTACAAGCACAGCCTCCTGAAAGAAGGGGGAGGGCCACCGAAAGGCAGAGAGGAATTGATGGTGCTTGAGCTTGCAACAGCAGAGTCGAAAGCAGGGGAGTGTAAAGTATCCCTGGCAGTTCTGGAACACTGAACCTAAACTAGATTTCTTTAAAATCAATGGAGAAACGTGCTAAATGCAGGAGCCACTGGACTATCCCACAATGCTTGTGCTCAGAACAGCAATGTCCTTAAAAGCTCATTCATCTCAGATTTACTGTAGTGTCATTGCGCTAATTTCAACAAAGCAGTTTTCAACCAGCAATCAAGTATACCCACTTTATGCTAATGTAGATTTGATTAGCTGGCTTTCAGGATCTCTCTCTCTGTTTCTGGGAAGGACTGAAACTCTTCTGTTTTCTTTCCTCAGGCATCCTTTCCAATCTAATTCATATTTGACAAACAAGACGAGAAATCAATTGTGTGTAGTATACACTGTATAATGACCCACAAAGTTCCTAAAACAGTTGTGCTTGCTCCAGAGCAGTTATTCAGGATTCTGCACACAATTCTTTGGCACTGTTACACCTGGCCAAGAGCCATGGAAAACATGGCTCTGTAAAACAGAGGCAAACCAAATGGGATGATGAATCTGTGCTGGTGCCACTTCTAAGTTGCCTCCTATCCTGCACAGTCACAAAAAAAATCAGGATTTATTCTGACCTTTCCCATTGTATTTAGGAAAACAGGAATGGAGGAATATTGAAAGCTAGAACTGTTCAACTCCTACAAACACAAGGACTGCACCCCGTGCCTGTACCATTCCCACACCCGTGGCCTTAAGGAGATTTTAGGGCCAAGCTTGGATTTCTCAGGATTTCACAGACTTCCTTACAGCAGCTTGGATTTCCCTGGATTTCACAGAGGGTTCCTTACCTCTGCCTTGGCAGGCGGATGAGTGGCTGTTTGTGGCACCTCTTGCTCAGGCTGAAGAGCTTGTGCACCGTTCTCTGGGCCTTGAGGAAGAGTTGCTTCATGCTGTTCTCCAGCTGCTCGTAGCGGCGCTGGAAATTAGAATCCATTGTCCACAAATGCATCACAGCAGATGTGTTCAGGAAATAATTCATAGGCAGCCTCTTCATAAATAATTTGAATTCATCTAAAAAAAAAAATAAATATAAAATTAATAGTATTTAATTATGCAGCTATGGTTATTCTTGCAGCAGAAATTAAATTCTGATTTGTTTTTTTTTCTTGAACCAATTTTCATAAACTCAATCTTTTGAAATTTTAAAATTGAGCATTTTAACTCAAACTCTTTCAAACCAGAAAGGTGACTACATTTTTATCGGTAATATTAGAATAAAGCCAGCAAAATCCAATATTCATACATTTTTTAATTAATATTAAAGCAAATACAAGCATTGTCCTTATTTCTCAACCTGGATAATATGAGGATTAAATAAGAATCAGACTTTCTCACCTTAAAATCTGGGATCTGAAAGCAAATGTGCCTTTAAAGATCAGTGTTTATTGACTCATCTGAAGAATATCAGAAACTGTCTTAAAATAAGTATATTCAAATACTTAGGACATGCAAATAAATGTGATTTTACAGACCATTTCCCTTATATATATGTTGTTTCACCTGACACAAGCCATTAAATTAGACTTTCATAAGTATTTACAATTAAAATGAAACATTTCAAAGCATTTTATGGTACTTCAAAATTTTATGACACTTCAAAAATGTTCCCATAACTTCTTTTTGGCTCTAAAGCAGCAGAAAGGAGTTCTTCAATCACAAAGTCATTGTTACTGTGAACTTGTTCTGGTAGCTCAGACCACACAATATGATATGTAGACAGAATCTTATTAACTGAGTTTTATTAATCAGGGAGTCTGTTTCTGTAAACAGAATGATTTATAACTTCTGAACCTAAATAAACTTCCATTAAAAGAGCTCCAGATACTGGGGAGGGAAATACGTGAGAATGAGTGGCACACTTGAATGCACATGTTTATCCTTTTTCTTTCTTGTTTTTATATATCAGTATGTTTCCCTGCCTGCCCTTCTGCCTGCTGCTATCCTCCCACCCTTCACAATCCATTTTTTTCTTTCTGCTTGTTCCTGCAACGAAGTCACTCATCCCACAGTTTGGCTTTCACCCTGCCAGATGCTCCTTTTGGATAGTCTACATTTCAGCAGGCTATGTGAAAGCAAAGATCCCACTGCCTGAAGTGGCCTCCCTCTTCAAATGAAAATAATCATAATATTTAACATTAGCATAATTTTAGGTTGCTCATGGAAGAGGCTTGTTTGGGGAAAATGTCCACTCACATCAAAGAATACCCCATTAACATTCTTGTTCATAAGTCTTTTGGTTTAGCTTTAGTTTAGGATTTTTTAACTACATTTTTACACAAAGCAGGTAAAAATATTTTCTTTTCTATGAATGAAGAAAAAAAGATCCTTTGTAAATAAACTGTAGTGGCCCTTGACCACATCCTGAGGGACAAGGGGCAGTGATGGAACACAACAGTCCCATTTCAGCAGAGTATTTTCTGCGGTGGGTGAAGACTCATAACAAAACAAATGGCATTGAAAGGTCTTCTGGAAGATAAAAAATGAAAGCCAAGAGTCAAAGATGATGATTTTATGTTTAACAGAGTGGTTTTAATAATTCCTCTGGGAATGTGTTGCTTATTTTACCTTCATGCCTTCCTCTTTGGGTAGAAATTATTCTCCCCTGGAGGACAGCCCCTGTGCTGCCCTCAGGGCATGTGGGAAAGGAACTGTTTCTTTATCTTACCAACTCTATGCAGCCTTTTATCTTTTGCTTTCTCCTTTCCTTAATTTTGTCTAAATTGGTTTTTAACCTGTGTCCAGCAAGAATGTCCATTCCTGGGTGTACAGCTAACAGTTTGAATTAGTGGGAATACTTAATAAATTCTGCATGACCAGATAAGCATCTCTATGAATCTTAGTGTTGTTTTGGGAAAAACGTTCCATTTTCTCCTTCCCAAGAGATAATTATTCCTTCCTTAGAATTATAGAGTAATTTGGGTCAGAAGGGACATTTATAGCCCAACCCCCACTGTGACAAGAAGACACCCTCCACTGGATTAGGTTGCTCAGAGCCCCATTACCAATCTCTGATTCCTTGTTGGAAATGACATAACTTCCTTTTTATTTTTAAGTAACTTCAGTCATGGGTTTGTTCACCTTTGCCAAGGGGGAGAGGAGCTGGGCTCTGTTGTTGGTTTAATCTTTAAAACACCAAGGCTTTGGGTCTGGCTGAGCAGGGCCTGATAAGTTTCAATAAACAAAAAAAAGCACTTTTGGATATCTGGAATTTTAAAGTTTACATGTTGTGAATCCAGAAGGTATGGAGGAGGTAATCAGACATTACTGCCTGGCAAAGTTGGAGACACCCTCTCTGAGAAAAGAATGCCAAGGGAACCACAGAACTGGACCAAGCGAGTGTGAAAGGCAAAGGGATCAATATCCAATAGAAGATCACACACTAACTAATGAAAATAATTGTGTGGTGTAGAACCAAAGAATTCTTTGCTTTCTATAAATGTATGAATATGTGAAAAGTCTTGTAATGGATATGTGTAATTGGAATGATTTCCAGCACACATCCTGGCCAGAATAAAGGAATGCCTTACTCAGTGGCAGCTCAAAGACCGTGTCAGAGAGTTTTGTTCCTTCCTGAGTTCAGTGACATCCTGACACTGCCCTTCCCAGCCCTCAGTCCCTCCCAGGTCTGCACAGAAGGTATGACAGAAGGTTATGTCTGGCTTGCCTAAAGGAACCACAGTCCCATTAGCTTGGTAAAGCCTTCCAAGTTTAAAGATTTAAAAACATTAAAAATGGTAGTTTAAAAAAAAAAAATAGGGAATAAGGTTAACTGAGCTAATACAAAGTTTGTCCTTTACAAAGCACAGATCTGCAGCTTGTATAAAATCAGGTAAGTTCTACCAGATTTAGAGGACTGAGGGTATATATGTGTATAAATACATACTCTGACACCTGGGGGGAATTAGATCCCAAAGGCACATTCCTGACTTAATTCCTAAGGTCTCTTTTCCCTTCTGTTCCTCTGAGGAACTGGTCTATCCCCTTTAAAGAGCCTCATGAAGGCAGAACAAAGGGAACTCTCTCAGGAGACAATATGCTCAGGCGATGCCTTTTCAGCCCTCATGCTGCTCTAAGCACGTATTTAAGGAACGCTGTCATTTTGCTGTCCTCTGCTCGGTGGCACTAATCTCTTCAGCTAACAACTGCTCCGTGCAGTGTTCAGAAGTGATAAGGAAGGTTCACGCTCCTCAACTTGCAATGCAACAGCATTTCCAATAAGAAAGTGGGTTTTTTTCTCCCTGTAATAAACACCATCTTTGACTACCCTTGTGCCCTGTCTGATCCTGCTAATGAGCTCCAGAATGCAGGTGGAGGAGAGACAGAGATACAATGAGCCTGGTTACATAGTGCCTGCTGCACAAAAAAAATAAAAAAATAGAAAGAAAAAAAAAAGGGAAGATAATGTGCTCATATCTTAAACAGACACATTTCATGATCTGTGAAACTACAACATGAACTCCTAACACTGAGAGATGATTAAACTATTACACTCTAATCAATACATGGTGCCAGCAATTCCTGAGGATTAACAGCCAGTATTACAGTCCCAGGGGCCATAGAAATTGATACTTTAATTCATAAAATCAGAGAATATCCTGAGCTGGGAAGGACCCACAAGGATCATTGAGTCCAACCCCTGGGCCCACCTGGGACAACCCCAAAAACCAGACCATGATTCTTGATACCACATAAAATCTGATTAAAGCACTTCCTCTTTCTTTTCACGTGGGTAGTACATGCAATGCAATTTTATATATTCTTAACTAATTGCAAATAAGGTAAAACATCATATGCAGTGGTGGGTCAAGCAAGTTCATTTTCTGGCTGGTTGTGTCACTTTTCACTTCCCCTTTCTGCCAGGTATATCTTTCTTGTGTCAATAGTGCCTGCAGATGGAAATGGCATCCCATATTTCAGTGGGAAAGAATAAATGAGAAATATCATAATGGGAGCAAACATTATTGCTGAAATCAGATGGATATCAGACATATTTAGGCTGTGAGAAATGCCTAGAGCTGCAGATATGTAATTTGGATCCTCAGTGTTATTTGGTGTCAGAGCAGGGCTCAGTGCTGAGTGCAGTGATTACCACTCTGCAGACAGAGCTGGCAAAGGCCATAAAAATCCAGGAAGCCTCCCCCAATGATTTGACAGTGCTCTGCTACACAGGAAAAAGGTGCCTGCTCCCTGATCCCTCTGCTGTGAATATTTAGATTTTCCCTGGTATTTTGCTAAAAGGCCTGTACAAGTCTGTCCCACCCACACAGCACACTTCTGACTTTGTTTCCACTGAGACTGAGTGGTTTGCAGAACTTCTGCAGGCTGCCAAAATGTCTTGGATTAGCTTGTTTCCTAAGATCCCTTGTGGAGGATCTTCAGAAGCACCTTGGAAGTCAGTGGATTTATTCCTGCTTAGGGATTCAGAGCACCAGGTTATTAAAGGTGCTGCAGGCTGACATCTGACAGCAACGCCGGAAATAAGAAAATACCAAATTTTATCACTGCACTTTCATCTCCTATTTCCTTTAGAACAAACAGAGCAAGTCCACGACTGAGCTTTGAAACTGAAATATTCTTTTAAGTCATATAGGCACTGTTTCACCTGTCAGTGAAACAGAGATTATCTCAGTACTGAGGATGTTGGAGCAATTTCCCCCTCACAGCCCAGACACACTCTGCACAAAGGCAGGGGAGAGCCTGAGCCTCTGCACTCTGGGTAGCAAGAGCAGGGGGATAAAACAGCTCCTTTAAGCCATGGCTTGTGTCTAGGGAGGTCTCAATTATGTGCTTCAGGAGCACCAGAACTCCTAATTCAATATGAAAATTCAAATTTGACATGGATTTCTATCAGAGGAAAGAGAACGCTGTTTCTTTTCCTGCTGGTTCTTGTTATGGCTGAAATCGATGACAACAGACATGTGACAATAATTAAGTGAGGTGAAAATCTACAGTGTAGGAGAACATAAAGCACAGTTTAAAAAGAATCTGCATTTGGTGATATGCTAAGGAAA